GCAGGAAAGGAGGTAGCGGGTCAGGGGAAGAGGGTGACGAGGTCGATGTCGGCGGCGGCGGCGATGCAGGTCGAGGGGGCCAAGGCGAAAGCGGAGAAGGGTAAAGGGGTGGAGGAGGAGAAGCGCTGGTCCGACCACGAGCCCGAGGATGACATTCTCCCCGAATTCCCACTCTTTGAGGACGACACTACCGCCAAGAGCACGTCTACATCGTCTACCCAATAATGATCAAGCACACCATCACCAGCTGGAACGTGAGGAGGTGCATGGGGATCCCGGAAAAGCGACGCAACATTTACACCTATTTATCAACATTCAAAGCATCCGCCATTCTACTACAAGAACACTTCATCAAACCGGAACTCTGGCAATGTATCAAGGACGAGTACGAGGGCAAGGTCTTCATCAGCAAACACTGTCTGACTCTGATCCCCGCCGACTCGCCCCTGATCGACGCCGAGATTTTGCGCACCCACTCGGCACTCGACGGACGAATCCTGGTCACCTCCTTTCGACTTCGAGGCGACATCCGGATACTCGAGATCAACAACATTTACGCACCAGTCGATACAAAACAACGACTCACATTCTTTGACAAACTACATTTCCACAGGACGCAGAGCACCCACCTTCGACTCCTCGGCGGCGATCTCAACGACTGCCCGCTGCCGGCGATCGATCGGCGGAACCAAGGTCGGCACGGCCATCACTGGCCGATCCTGATCGGCAAGCTCGACTCGCCCTACACCGACTGCATACGATTCAAACACCCGCTCACACCATCTTTCACTCGACCCAACATCGTCCGCAAGCGACCAAAGTCCTTTTCACGACTTGACTACTTCCTTCTGCAGCGCACCCACCAAAAGCGACTCGTCCAAGCCTCGACGATCTACGACCACCCCAAGGACCTTTCGGATCACCGACCGGTCTCGATCGTCCTAGTTCTCTCGGACGAGCGAGGAGACGCGGCTCAACCCAACAACAGTTTACCAACGACATCAAACCAATTACATCGTATCAACGCGGCGACCTTCAAGACGGCGGAGTTCCAGGGGATGTTGGAAGGATGGTTGGAAGGAGCGAGTGGGGAGGAACCGGTGGGGGAGCTCGAGGTGGTGCTGGGGAACTGCGCGAAGGAGGGTCGGGAGCTGGCGAGGAGGGAGCATCGGGAGCGGGTGGAGCGGATGGCGGTCTTGGTGGGAAGGGTGCAGGATCTGGAGGCGTTGCCGGTGATGGGGGACGAGGAGACGGCCGAATGGACGCGGACGACGGAGGAACTTAGGCGAGCGGTCAACGAGCGCGCGCGCCAACTTCGGATCCGAGCCCACGTACCCGAAATCGCTACCGAGGAACGACTGTCGCGGCCGGTCCACGCCAAGCTCGCGGCACGGAGTTCGGATTCCAAGATCACAGCACTGCGATTGCCCAACGGAGAGCTGACACATGACATTGACGTCGCGCTTGACCACACACAGGCGCACTTTCAGCGCCTCTACGATCTCGAGCCGCGCGATCGGGACCACGTCGAGCGACTTAGGGACGATTTCTTGGCGCCGATCAGGTCGGCGCGCACTTGCGATGACCCGAGCTCGGACCCGCTCTTTCTGCGACGACTCTCGGAAGCGCACATCGAGCTGCTGCAGCAACCCATCACCGAGGACGAGGTCGTAGCCGCAATCGCAACAACACACCCCGGTCGATCGCCGGGTCCATCTGGCGTGCCCTACGAGCTCTATCACACAGCGCCGCGGGCGTGGGCCAAGGCGCTGAGCAGGGCCTTCAACGCGATGACCGAGCGCGGCTCGCTTTCACCGAAGCAGGGGCAAGGACTCGCTCGCCTGCTCTTCAAGCACCACAAGATCGGGGCCGATCGCGCCGAGCTCTCGTCGTACCGGCCCATCACCTTGCGCGAGTGCGACTACAAGCTCTTCACCAAGGTCTACGTTGCGCGACTCAACCACGTGCTGCCGGACCTGCTCCCACCGCAACAGCACGGCTTCGTCAAGGGCCGCCGATCGGCGGACGCGTCATTCCACCTGCGACTCTTGATCGAGGAGCTGGGCGCGCGCGGCACCGAGTTCCCTGACGCGGCGCTCTTGTCTCTTGACCAATCGTCGGCTTACGACCTCGTCGAGCACGAATGGATCTTCGCCATCTTCGACGCTCTCGGCGCTCCTGCCGCCTTCCAACGCGTTCTGAGGATGCTCTACTCGGGTGACTCAACCACGGCGCGATATATCATCAACGGCTTCTTGACTCCGCCGGTGCGGCTGACGTGTGGGCTCGGCCAAGGGGACCCGGCGTCGTCGTCGGTCTGGGATGTCGTGTTCCAGCCGTTCCTGGATGCTCTGCACCGTCGAGGCATCGCGCTGAACCTCTCGCTTCCTACCATTCACCCCTACCCACAGAGCCGCGCCATTACATCCCTTGCGTTTGCCGATGACGTCGTCGTCGCCGTCGCGGGCTCGGAGTCACTCAACTTGCTCGACGACCTGGCGCTCGACTGGAGGCTCGCAACCAATGGCCGGCTCAACACCGACAAGACCGTCGTACTACCCATCGGGTGTCGCTGGGAGGCTGGCGATCGTCCGCTCGTCGTCAAGGCCGAGGGCGAGTCGCTCGAGTGGATCGGCCTATCTTTCGACCCCACCGGCAACACCGAACTCGCCAACGTGAATCTCGTCGCACGGCTCGAAGCGGTGCTCGATTCGGCACGGGACCGAGGGCTCACACACCACACCCGAGCGTTCTACGTCAACCGATACGCCATTCCCAAGATTCTGCACATCCTCTCCGCCGACATCCCACCGCTCGAGGTCGTCAAGGAGCTTGATCGCATTCTCGCCGACTTTGTCCGCGGCGGCAAGAGGAGGTCGTGCTATGGCAAGGACGTCGTCTTCACACCGAGGTTCAAGGGGGGTCTTGGGGTCATGCGGATGCAGGACGTCGTCGACTCGGTTGCGGCACGCGTCTGGGACGTGCTTCTTGGCGGTTCGGATGCGATCTGGCAGGGACTTGCGCGCGCGGCGATTGTACGAGCCCATCCCGCCCCCGACTTTGACTTGGCAACCGATGCGTGGCCTTGCGACTACACTCCGATCCGAACCGATCTACACCCAAGATGGCAGGCCGTGCTGAAGGTACCATCGACGCACAATGCGCAAGTCAAGCCGAGGACGTTGACGCTCGCGAACCTTCTCGCTCTTCCGATCAAGTTGCACACCCTTCACTACCTACCGGGAGCACCAGCTGTGTCGCGACCACCCTACGACGCCGACTATGCTGCGTTTGCCATTTACGCCAAGGTAGCGGACCTGTTTCGACGCGAGCTGTACCCGGGCGGGGGCTTTCATCTCTGGACGCCGCCGACGGATGTGGTCGTCAGCAACAGCGAATACGATCAACGGGGCCGCCCACAACGAGAGCACATCGTGGCATGGTACCGACATGCGATCAATCGATTGAGGTTCACACCAATAGCTCAACCGGTGGCGGCAGTACGAATCAACGGGCCTCCCCGAGTCCGCCCCACCACGCCGCTCGAGTCGATCCTGCCCCATCCGATCGACCCGCCGCAGCGCCTTCCGAGACCGGCTCTCCCAGACCAATCAACACAATACAACTTGCTCAGCATGGATCGGCCATACACCATCCGTCGCGTCCGCCGAGTCTTGAATGCAAAGGCCTTCACCGACACGATCGGTTTCAGGGACTCGCTGCAGCCCGACGATCTCAAGGGATTCTGGAAGGGGGTCAACTCGAAGGCATTGACGGCGAGGGAACGCGAGGTGTGGTTCAAGCTCGTCAGGAACTTCACCCCGACTCGGAGTCTGCAGTTTCATCAAAAGCACGACGACTCGCCCGCGTGCCTCGTCTGTGGAGCGCCCAAGGACGATCGGGAGCACTACTTCTTCGACTGCGTTGACTCTAGGAACGTTTGGATCGCGGCAAGGGGCGTGCTCTGCGACGCACTGGGGCTCGACACGATCGACAACACGCATTACACGGCCGTTCAACGCATGTTCGGACTTCCGAAGCTCAAGGCCAGTCTGCGCGATCAGGAAGGAGCGGGGAGGACGATCGAAATATTGACCGGGCTGGTCTTGGAGATGATCAGCAGCGGGAGGTGGGGGATGCAGAAGTGGGGGACGAGGCTGGAGGGTGTTGGGAGGAGGAGGATCATCTTGGAGGAGAGGTTGAAGCTGAGGGCGGGAGGAGCTTGGGGGAGGAGAGGGCAGTAGAGGCTGGGTTCGACTTTCCCCCCACCACCACACACACACACACCAAATTCTCGTGACATCATTTTCTCCTACTGTACACTAAATAGCTCGCTTTCCTCTTTCTTTTGTTACAGGTTCACCGTTGCGGATCATGGACCATCTCGCGATTTGGCGTCGACTCGGTGTGGCTCGCGCTCTTCGGCTTCGGGGTTCTGAGTCAAGGGAGGGATCAGCGGACACAGGCAGAAAGTCGGCTTTGAGGGGCCAGGGACTGCCGAGGGGGAGGTTTTGAGGGACCTTCACCGCGTCTTGTTGTGACTGAGCAGAGACTTGGAGCGTCGAGGGTCGTGGTGGTTGCGCAGTCGTGCTCTTGTCTTCGTCTCGACCGAGTGGGAAGTGGCTGTGGGGTGGGCCTTCTGTCGTTAGTACATTTCTTTTCTTTCTCTTTCTCTTTCTCTTCATCTCTCTTTCTCTCTCTCATTCGTCTCCTGGGGGGGAGCAACCGCTTGGCTAGGGCATTTGAATCCGAATCTCGGATTGGTGGACTTGGCTCGTTTCTCGCACTTTTGCGGGCGGTTTGTGTTATCATCGTAGTCTTCCATCTAGTTTTTCCGTAGGCCGAAACAGGGGGAACAGGAACTGGGGGCAATATGATGAACGTTTTCTACAAAAAAAAAATTCACTTCACTTCACTCCACTTCACTTCACTTCACTTCACTTCACAATCGCCCTACTGCAGCCTTCGATACTCGAGTTAACAAGTGATACACCGACAAGATGTCTACCGGAGACCCTGGGTCCCCACTGCCGGCACCGCCACCACCGGTATCCGCCACCAGCGTCCAGCCCCCCCGCGACCGGATCCCGATAAGCTCGAAGAAGACGCAAGTCACGGGCCCCGCCACCGCCGCACCCAACTATGCTGCCGCTGCGAGTCAGATGGCGGCTCAAACACCTGAACAACAGCAACAACAACAACAGCGTGCCAAGGCTCTGGGCAGCCTCCTACAAGCCATGGGTGCTGTACCCGGAAACCGCATGGATCGCTGGGTCCAGGCCATCTACTTCGCCGAACTCTACCCCGTCGCCACCGCCACATCGCTGAAATTTTCGGCCTTGAACGCGAACCGGTCCGTCGAGAACATCTTCGATTACGCCCTTGAAGTGACTCTGTCTCACCAGAGCGCCTCGCGAGCGACTCATGCCGACAAGATCGATCTCGTGGCCTACGTCACGAGGCTGCTATCGCCCATCTCTCCTATCTGCTTTGAGCCTGGAGTTCCTCTGCCGGACCATCTTGCGGCTTATCAACCACAGATCTTAGGCGTACAACATTCATCAATCCTGCGTAATGGGGCGGCTCACCATCGCGTTACGGTTGGGTTCGTCACCGGCGAGGCACGTGACGCGGCGCTCACGACGCCCCCCGCTCTCACTTGGCGATCGGCGAAGGCCCGCTTCGCGAAGTCTCACAGGTTCCACCATAACATGGTCGAGCTTCGAATCAACGTCGGTGTTCAAGGAGTGCCCTCCATGGATGCCATCATCAAATCGTTCCAATCACTTGTGCAAGACCTGTCAGGCAAGGGACATTCATGCCAACTTGTGCAGGTTCTGCGCGTTATCAGCGTGGACAACGCCTCGGCCTTCGCCCACGTTGCCGGAGACTACTCGGCTTTCCTACACTTCGATGACGACTCCCTATTCCAACGCCCCAACACGACCTTGAAGGAGATTCTACCTTCGAGGATCGACCTTCCCACTCGAGGCATCCCGGTTACCGCCCTTCGCCATGACTATGAGAAGGAGGCGGCTTGCGGTAGGTGCCACTTTGTGGGTCACGTGGGAACCTGCGGACTGGATCAGGAGAGGAAGCGGAAGGAGGCTCACAACGGCATCATCAACAGCAACAAAAACACCATCACCCACAACACCAACATCGCGGAGGCCGAGGCCCCCATTCCTGTGCTGGTTGTTAACAGGATCGCATCACAGAATCACTTCGCCGGGCTCGAGGTCGAGGAGGGACAGGAGGAAGAGGTAACTGGCCAGGGCGAACAGGGACCGGAGGAATCGGGGGAGGAAGACGCTGGTGATAAGGCGGATGACGAGGACTCGGAGGACTCGGAGATGGAATCGGAGGCGGCCGCGAAAACGGAGGTCATCAAAATTGAAAGCGAGGACGAGTCGGTCTTGGAGGACTGCAGCGGATCCGATGGAGAGGTGATTGATGAGAATGAGGTGATGGCGGATGAAAGAGGTGAAACGGAAGGAGAGGTGGCTACGGAGATGGAGGAAGAGGAGGTGGCGACGGAGGTGGGCGATGTGGACGAAGCGAGGGGATCGACGAAAGCGGAGAATGCGGAAGCGACGGACTTAGGGGAAACGAACAGGCTGGACAATGACGACGACAGCGACGCCACAGCAACCGCCGCCACCGCTTCCCGCGAATCGACGCCGCATGAACCAACCCCACCTCTGTCACCCGAAACTCTCGCCAAGTCGCTACGCGAGGGGGAGGAGTGGGACAGGATCAGAGCTAACTGGGTTGAGCAGGCACGACTTGAGCGGGACCAAAGCATCGAGAGGAGGCTCAACGCTGAAACCCCTCTGGTGCGTCACAACTTTGCCACGTGGGACGAGGACGGTGAGATACGCTCCATCAACATCAGGGGGACCGCTGCGAAGTTCAAGAAGCAGGTGATGAAGAGGTCGCAGACTGCGGCGGACCTCAGTGACCCAAGTGACGAACCGACCGACGCCAAGCGAGTCATCATCAAAGGGAAGAGCCGCGTCGTGGTGAAGGATGGAATAGAGGGGCGGAGGGTGACGAGGTCGATGTCGGCGGCAGCGGCGATGCAGGTCGAGGTGACGAAGGTGGACAGAGGGAAAGGAAGAGGGGTAGCTGAGGAAAAACGATGGTCCGACCACGAGCCCGAGGACGATGTCCTGCCCGCCCTTCCCCTCTTTGAGGACGTCACCACCGCCAAGAGCGCCTCGACCTCGACTACCCATTAATGATCAAGCACACCATCATCACCTGGAACGTAAGAAGGGGCATGGGGGTCCCGGAAAAACGACGTAATATCTACACCTACCTTTCCACATTCAAAGCTTCCGCGATTCTCTTACAAGAGCATTTCATCAGACCACAATTCTGGCAGCTCATCAAGGACGAGTACGAGGGCAAGCTCTTCATCAACCAGCACTGCCTGACCCTGATCCCGGCCGACTCGCCCCTGATCGACGCCGAGCTCTTGCGCACCCACTCGGCACTCGACGGCCGGCTCCTCGTCACCTCCTTTCGTCTGCGGGGCGACATCAAAATTCTAGAAATCAATAACCTCTACGCGCCCGTTGACCCAAAACAACGAGCAAAATTCTTCGACAAACTGATCCTCCACAAAACACAGAAATCCCACCTCCGACTCCTTGGCGGCGATCTCAACGACTGCCCGCGCCCAGAAGTCGATCGGCGGAACCAAAGTCGGCGCGGCCACCACTGGCCGATTCTGATGGGCAAGCTCGACTCGGCCTACACGGACTGCATCCGCTACAAGCACCCCATCACCCCATCTTTCACTCGACCTAATCCCAATCGCAAGCGACCCAACTCCTTCTCCCGGCTTGACTACTTTCTCCTACAAAGAGCTCACCAAAAAAGGCTCGACCAGGCCTCGACGATCTACGACTATCCCAAGGATCTTTCCGATCACCGACCGGTCTTGATCGTACTAGCTCTCTCAGACGATCTTGATGCGGCTCTCCCACAGCTCAGCCTACCTACCACATCCGACCAACTACATCGAATCAATACCACAACCTTCAAGACGGTGGAATTTCAGCGGATGATGGAAGGATGGTTGGAAGGGGCAAGCGGGGAGGATCCGGTGCGAGAGCTTGAGGAGGTTCTGGAGGCGTGCAGGGACAGGGGTGGGGAGATGGCGAGGAGGCTGCATCGGGAGCGGACGGAACGGATGGAGTATTTGGTGGGGAGGGTGCAGGATCTGGAGGCGTTACCGGTATGGGGGGAGGCGGAAACGGCAGAATGGACAAGGACGTCCGAGGAACTCAAGCGGGCGGTCGAGGAGCGCGCGCGCCTACTCCGGATCCGAGCCCACGTCCCCGAGATCGCTTCCGAGGAACGACTGTCGCGGCCGGTCCACGCCAAGCTCGCGGCGCGGAACTCGGACTCCAAGATCACAGCACTGCGCTTGGGCAACGGAGAGCTAACGCATGACATTGATGTCGCTCTTGACCACACGCAGGCGCATTTCCAGCGCCTCTACCACATCGAGCCTCGTGATCCGGAACGCGTCGACCGACTTCGGGACGAACTCCTCGTGCCGATCAGGGCGGCACGGACTTGCGACGACCCGCGCTCAGATCCGCTCTTTCTGCGCCGACTCTCGGAAGCGCAGATTGATCTCCTCCAGCAACCCATCACCGAGGACGAGGTCGTGGCCGCGATCGGGACGACGCACCCGGGGAGATCGCCGGGCCCGTCGGGCGTGCCTTACGAACTCTATCAGACCGCACCGGAGGCGTGGTCCAAGGTGCTGACCAAGGCCTACAACGCGATGATCGAGCGCGGTTCACTCTCTCCCAAGCAGGGCCAGGGACTCGTGCGCCTCATCTTCAAGCGCCACAAGAAGAATGCCGATCGCGCCGAACTCTCGTCGTATCGCCCCATCACCCTGCGCGAGTGCGATTACAAGATTTTTACCAAGGTCTACGTCGCCCGATTGAACCAAATTCTGCCCGATCTCCTCCCGCCGCAGCAGCACGGCTTCGTCAAGGACCGCCGATCGGCCGACGCTGCACTACACCTTCGTCTCCTGATCGAGGAACTTGGCGCGCGCAGGACCGAGTTCCCCGCGGCCGCGCTCTTGTCTCTTGACCAATCATCCGCCTACGACCTCGTCGAGCATGACTGGATCTTTGCCATCTTCGACGCTCTGGGCGCTCCTACCACCTTTCTTCGCGTGCTGAGGATGCTCTACTCGGGTGACTCGACCTCGGCGCGCTACATCATCAATGGGTTCCTGACGGCGCCGGTGCGACTGACGTGTGGGCTCGGCCAAGGGGACCCGGCGTCATCGTCGGTCTGGGACATCGTGTTTCAGCCGTTCCTGGATGCTCTACACCGTCGAAACATCGCGCTGAATCTCTCCATACCTGCACTTCATCCGTACCCACAGAGCCGCGCCATTACATCACTTGCATTTGCCGATGACGTTGTCGTCGCCGTCGCGGGCTTGGAGTCACTCAACTTGCTCGATGACCTGGCGCTCGACTGGAGGCATGCAACGAATGGCCGGCTCAACACGGACAAGACGGTCGTCCTACCGATTGGACGTCGCTGGGACCCTGGGGAACGGCCAATCGTCGTCAAGGCCGCAGGCGAGTCGCTCGAGTGGATCGGCCTCCCCTTCGACCCCAGCGGCGACACCGAACTCGCCTACGCGAATCTCATCGAACGGCTCGAGGCGACGCTGGAAGCGGTTCAGCATCGCTGGCTCACGCACCACACCCGTGCCTTTTACGTCAATCGGTACGCCATTCCCAAGATCCTGCATTTCCTTGCAGCCGACATCCCGCCGCCCGAAGTCGTCAAGAAGCTCGATGACATGCTCGTCGATTTCGTCCGTGGGGGCAAGGGCAGGACCAGCTACGGCAGAGACATTGTGTTCACCGCCAAGAACAAGGGGGGACTCGGGGTGATAAGGATGCGGGACGTTGTGGACGCGGTTGCGGCACGGCTCTGGGACGTTCTTCTCGGCGGTTCCGGCGCGATTTGGCAAGGACTTGCGCGCGCATCACTCCAGCGAGCTCAGCCCGACCTCGACCTGGCCACCGATCTCTGGCCACATCCATCCACTCCCATCCCCAACGACCTTCATCCCCGATGGCACGCCGCACTGGGCGTTCCGAAACTTCACGACGCGCAGGTCAACCCGAGGGCCTTGACCACCGCGAACTGCTCGCGCTGCCCACCCTGCTCGGCAGCCTCCACACCCCCATCAGAGGGAGACAGACCATCGACGCGGTTCATGTACCTGACTACCTTCGTCTCCAGGGCTACCCGAAGGTGGCGGATCTCTATCGACGCGAGTTGTATGCGGGTGGGGGGTTTCACCTCTGGACGCCGCCGGCGGATGTGCTCGGCGACAACAGCGAGTACGATCGACGCGGGCTCCCGCAGCGACTGGCAATCGCGGCCTGGTACCGGTTCACTGTCGATCGACACAAGAACACCCCCTTGGCGGCGGCGGTGGCGGCGGGACGACTCAACGTGCCTCCCCGGATCGGCACCAGCGCACCACTCGAGGCGATCATCCCCAAGCCCGTGGCCCGCTTCGCAATGGAGCAGCGCCTTCCGGACCCGGTGCTTCCACAACAGGCGAGCCAGTATACGCTGCTGAACATGGCTCGCCCCTACACAGTCCGTCGCATCCGCCGGGTCCTGAACGCGAAGGCATTTACCAACATGCTCGGGCTCAAGGGACCACCGCAGCCGGACGACCTCAGGAGCTTCTGGAAGGCAGTCAACTCGAAGGCACTGACGCGAGGGAGAGGGAAGTTTGGTTCAAGCTGATCCTCCGCTTCACCCCGACGCGCAAACTCCAGCACGAGCAAAAGCATGTCACTTCTCCCGCGTGCCTCGTGTGCGAAGCGCCGGTGGACGACACCGATCACTACTTCTTCGGCTGCGTCGACTCGCGGAACGTCTGGACCGCGGCAAGGGGCGTGCTCTGCGACGCGCTCGGATGCGACACGATCGAGGACGCCGAGTACACGACACTACAACGACTCTTTGGCCTCCCCAAGCTCAAGGCCAAGCTCAGCGAACAGGAAGGCGCAGGCAGGACGATCGAGATCTTCACGGGGATGGTCTTGGAGATGATCAGCAGTGGGAGATGGAGGATGCAGAAGCACGGGACGAGGATGGAAAGCCTGGAGCGGAGGAGGGTGGTACTGGAGGAGAGGATGAAGTTGAGGGCGGGGGGAGCAAGGGGCGGGCGAGGGCAGTAGAGGCTGGGTTCGATTTCCCCCCACCCCATCCCACACTCACACACCCCACATCACACATCCTCTTACAAAAACTGTATACTAAATATATTTTCTTCATCTTTCTTTCTTTTATTACAGGTCTGCCTCCGTTGCTCATGGACCGGCTCGCGATTTGGGATTGACTCGACGGTGGCTCGCGCTCTTTGGCTTCGGGGTTCTGAGTCAAGGGAGGGATCAGCAGACACAGGCAGAAAGTCGGCTTTGAGGGGCCAGGGACTGCTGAGGTGGAGGTTTTGAGGGGCCTCCACCGCGTCTTGTTGTGACCGAGCATAGACTTGGGATTCGCGGGTCAGGGTAGCTGCGCAGTCGCTCTCCTGTCTTTGTCTCGACCGAGTTGGGAAGTGGGTGCGGGGTGGGCCTCTTGTCGTTAGTACGCCAGTTCTTTTTCATTTTCTCTCTTTCTCTTCTCTCTCTCATTCGTCTCCTGGGGGGGAGCAACCGCTTGGCTGGGGCACTTGAATCCGAAGTATCGGATTGGTGGACTTGGCCCGTTTCTCGCATCTTGGGGCGGTTTGTGTTATCATCGTCGACTTCCATCTAGTTTTTCGTGCAATCAGATTTTTTTTTTTTTTTTTTTTTTTTTTTTTTTTTTTTTTTTTTTTTTTTTTTTTTTTTCGATTGTTTTTTTTTGTTTTTCGTCAGGCCAATCAGAGGGGGAACAGGGCGGGGGAGGTGGGGTGGGGGTTGGGGATTGTTTTGTTTTTTTTTTTTTTTTTTTTTTTTTTTTTTTGTAATGTTTTTTTTTTTTTTTTTTTTGCTGGTTTTGATATCTTCTCCTTTGGACGTGAACCACTATCACGCCGTTGGAGTCCGGTTAGTGCTCGGCGGGTTTTGATTGGCACGCTTTGCGGAGGGTTTGACTTTCACCAATTGTTGCGTCGTTGTTTTAACCTTTTTGCTTTTTTCTAGCGGTCCAGCCAACCGAAGGATTGCAATTTATGAGCCAGTAAAAAAAAATAAAAAAAAACAAAAACCACACACACACACACACACACCACACACACACACACACACACACACAAGTGAGTTTCTGTGGTGTAGAGTGAGTAGTTGACCTCCAAGCCCGTTAAGCTTTACAGGTCAACACAAACACGCGATGCCGGATCCGCCCGGCGCCGATGCGCCCCCGCCCGAGGACCTATTGGGTGGTAATGGCGCGAGTGATTCATCACTCAACACGCAAACGCGTGAAGCGGTCACTGGAGGAACCGCGAATCCTCCAGCTTGGTCGCCCGAGGCAACTCAGGTCCGGTTGGACCATGAGAAGCTGATGAAGAAGACCTTCCAAGTGCTCGGGATTGTTCCCTCCAGCAAGTCGACCCGCCGACTGATGGTCCTGATGCACGACGCCTCGACCCCGCCTTCGCAGGCGCCAGCGCTCGCACGAGCCGCCCAAAGAGCGGTGCGAAACGACGCAGCCCCGGCCTCCAATGTGATTCGAGTCATTATGGATGGTCCTGGATCACCCAGAGGTCCTGTACAGACCGCGCTGCGCAAGCACTTTGGATTGGCCGAGACGCCGTTCATGTTCGCGCGGCCCGAGGGCGTCGTGCTTGACCCCGAGGTCGAGAAGCTTTTCTCGAAATGCGTGAAGCTGAACCCGATTGTGACGAAAGCCACGAAGAGGTTCCCGATCGCTCGTCACATGTACGAGCTTGTATTCGAATCCGAGCAAGCTTGTCTTGAAGCCGCTTCAGCGGGCCCATTCCCCTACCACGGCAAGGAGATGGTTACCGAGCTCCCCAGCGCCTCTCCCCTTAACCACGTCGTGCAGGTGCGATTCACCTTGCCCTCCTCCTCCAGCGCGATCCCCGCTTCCGTGCTCCGAAAATCTCTCGATGATGCTATCACCCTTTCGTTCGGCCGCGCAGGTCGCACGCAAGGTTATACCCTGATGCAATTACAGCGGGGCCTCGCGGTCGATCCGAATGGCGATCCGATGGCCATGACCGAAGACGGGTTCCACTGCGCGTACCTTCGCTTACATGCTGATCTTTTCCAAGGCTCCATCGAGACGCAGAAGGGTGCGCTCAACGCCGCTTTGCCACAAGAGATCGAGATCCTGGGCGCCAAGTACGGCTTGCGACACGAATTCGAGACGCACTACTGCGCGGTGTGCGATCGCGCCGGACACCAGTGGGGCGCTTGCAGGAAGCCGGTTTCGACTCCGGCCACCGCCGCCCCTGTTCCGGGGGCCTCGACCTCGACTTCGACTTCGACCACCGGCTTCCGAGTTGCTGGAAAGAATGGGAAGCACGGTGGGCCTGCCGCATTGAACTCTGTGTCTCTGGCGCGAACATGATCCAGCTGGGACCTCGTGCTAACCCCGCAGGTGCAGTAACCGCCAACAAGGACGACGCGAACGACGGCGACGACGAGTCGATCGTTTCGACCGAACCGGAGGGCGGCGACACTGGGGAAGAGACGTCGACGCGTGCGACCCTGGGTCAACAAAGGAGACGCAGACGACGACGGCGGCGCCGTTTCGACCCCGACCTCTCCTTCGCCTTTGTCCGGTGGCACGTCGGGATCATCGGCAACCTCGACAACCTCGATAGCCTCGACGAGTCCTCGACGCCTTCGTTCGAGCTCGGCACCCGGCAACCGACGTGTCACCCGGGCAGGATCCGCCATGATCCTCGGTGCATCAGGGGGTGATGGTCAGGGGGCAACAGTTCAGGGGGTCACAGGTCCGAGGTGACCGAATTCGAGGGGGGCGGCGCTGAACTGATTTAATCATGATTGAGTCACTCACCGTGTTGACGTTCAACGTCCGATCGATGAAGAACGCAGTCAACCAAGTCAAAATCATCCGTTATCTCAAAACCCTTCGGCCGGCCCCTGCGGCCATCCTCCTGCAAGAGCACCACCTCAGCTACAACGCGTCGCGCGAAGGCTTCGAGAGTGCTTGGCCGGGGGCTTGTATTCGTTTCACTCCTCATGTCCTTACCCTATACCCGATGGCTCACCTTTGGCGGGCATCTCCTTTCCTCTACCCCGGTCGTCTTTGCAGGAGCTCCTCGTTTCGACGGTCGGATTCTGCGCTCGGTGTTTCGTCTTGAGGAGCTCGATGTCGAGATCATCAACATGTACGCGCCGGTGCAGGAGGACGATCGTCGCGACTTTTTCGGGCTTCTGCACTTCAACGCCCCGAGACCCAAGACTCTTCGGATCTTGGCCGGCGATCTCAACGATTGTCCGGATGTATCGGTCGACGAGTGTCCATCACCGATCGCGCTTGGACTCCTGTATCGCACTGGCAGACCTTGCTGTCAAAGATCGCGTTCAAGGCACTCGACACGGTCCGACATGTCATTCTTGCACCCTGCATTCACTCGTCCTCACTACCGTGGTAGAGGGGAAGAGCGAAAGATTTGCTCGTGGTCGCGGATCGACTATATTCTGTCCAATGCAGTTGGGCGAACCGGTTGTTGAGCGCTTCTACGCTCTTCGATGCGCCCTGTTCGGACCACAGACCTGTAGTTGCGACTTTCGCTTGCCTACATCGAACGCTGATGCCGACCCCCCTTTCTCTTCCCTCCACGAGCGATTTCATTTCGAGGCTCAACCCAATGGTCTTTGACGATCAAGACTTTGTCGCATCGATTCCCGGGGTCGTCGACGGGTCTATCGAAGGCTCGAGGGGACCGCTCCGCCGGCGACGTCTATGACGCCGCTCTGCGGGCGGTTGCAGTCGCTGGCCATGCACGATACCGCTCGACTCGTGCCGACATGCGCCGACTGCGGGCCGAGAGCCAATCCGTCATGGAGGCTTTGGAGCACGCGGTGAGCACATGAATGAGGCCGAGCGCGATGCGTATGCTCATGCCAAGTCGCGGTTGGACCAGTTGGCGGTAAAGGAGGCTCAGTGGCTGCGCATTCGTGCGCATTGCCGTCAGTCGACTCGAGGGAAGGTCAATCGGCAAGCATTCGCACGCGCCTCAACGCCGGAGTCGCAGACGAGCATCGTCTCGCTGGAGGATGTGGATGGCACCGAGACCGTTGACATGCAGGAGGCGCTGGGTATTGCTTCACGGCACGCGCAGTCGCTCTCACGCCGGACCAGCTCGTGGCGACCCGACGAACGCACGCCGGTCCCTGCTCGACCCTATTCGCGCAGCGAAATGCTACGATGACGACCGCTCGGACCCTACGTTCGGTCGTCGGCTGCCTCGTCAAGCGAGAGTGGCGCTTGACGAGCCCTTCACCCTCCTCGAGGTTGAAGCGGCGTTGAAGAAGACGGATTCGGGGCGATCACCGGGGCCCTCGGGCATTCCGTACGAGCTCTTCAAGGCGCTGCCAACCTACTTTGCTCCCAAGCTGTTGGACTTGTTCAACTCGATTTGGGAGGGCGGCAAAATGACGGCGTCTTGGGGGGCTGGTGCGGCTCTTGCCCAAGAATAAACCGGGGGCCAATCTGAAATCACTGGGGGCATACCGACCGATCACATTGCGCGAGACGACCTACAAGGTCCTCAGCAAGGTCTTGGTGGCGCGACTCAATGGGGTGCTCGGCGAGCTTTTGCCGCCGGCGCAACACGGTTTCATGCCATCAAGACGTTCAGCGGACGCGGGAAGTCATCTCACTCTCCTTCTCGAAAAACTCAAGTCGCTAGGCATGATTTTTCCCCGAGGGCGCCCTCTTGTCTTTGGATCAGCAGAGCGCGTACGATCGGGTCGATCACGCCTGGATCTTCGAGGTCTTTGAGGCCTTTGGGTTCGGTGAGCGTTTCATCTCGCTGCTGCGCGCTCTCTACGATCCCGAGACTCTGGGGGTGCGCTACCTTGTCAATGGGTTCCCCACGGACTTGGTGCGGTTGCTGTGTGGTCTCGGTCAGGGGGATCCCCTCTCGTGCCCGGTTTGGAACATCACGTTCCAGCCCTTCCTCGACGCCCTCGTTCGGCGCGGGGATCGCGCTCGACCTGCAGAAGGTGTGGCCAGGGGGGCCGCGTGCGCAGCTTACGCATCTGGCGTTTGCCGACGATGCTGTGGTGGTGGTGGAGTCACCGGCGGCATTGTCGAAGCTGCAAACGCTGTCGCAGACGTGGTACGAGGCTACCAACGGGAAGACCAACACGGACAAGACGCTGGTGCTACCACTCGGACCGAACTGGCTTCGGGACGAGACTGCGCAGGCGCTGCCAACGGTGCAGGAGGGGGAGAGCTTCAAGTGGTGCGGGCTATGCCTTCTTTCGCCACGGTGACTCGAAACTGTTTTGGACCCATGTTCTTGACAGGATCAAGGCCAAGA